GAAAATACGTCAGTATTGTACGTTTTAGTGCCTGTAAAAACGTAAGTAAATGTACGTTTTATAGTACCACATTTTATGTAAAATACATACGAATTATCATGAGATCAAGTAGGTTTCAACGACGAATTGCAGTCAGGTCGAGACCCCGATGAGGATGACGAGCATGCAGATGAGCTTCCCTGAGACGGTTTCTGACAGTTTGTGCAGAAATTCTTTGGTTATGCAAACCGATTGTTGCAGCAGCTGTCCGGGTGGCTGGTCTCAGACGATCTTGGAGGTGAAGATGCTGGATGTGGAGGTCCTGGGCTGGTGTGGTTACACGTGGTCTGCGGTTGTGAGGCCGGTTGGATGTACTGCCAAATTCTCTGAAACGCCTTTGGAGACGGCTTATGGTAGAGAAAAGAACATTAAATTCACGGGCAACAGCTCTGGTGGACATTCCTGCAGTCAGCATGCCAATTGCACGCTCCCTCAAAACTTGCGACATCTGTGGCATTGTGCTGTGTGATAAAACTGCACATTTTAGAGTGGCCTTTTATTGTGGCCAGCCTAAGGCACACCTATGCAATAATCATGCTGTCTAATCAGCATCTTGATATGCCACACCTGTGAGGTGGATGGATTATCTCGGCAAAGGAGAAGTGCTCACTAACACAGATTTAGACAGATTTGTGAACAATATTTGAGAGAAATAGGCCTTTTGTGTACATAGAAAAAGTCTTAGATCTTTGAGTTCAGCTCCTGAAAAATGGGGGCAAAAACAAAAGTGTTGCGTTTATAATTTTGTTCAGTGTATATTTATATATCTTATATATCTTTTGTTGCCTACAGACCCCAGTAGTTGCTCACTTCTCCATTTTGTCATCCATCTATCCATTCCACTGTTTTTATCTTTATAAGAGACATATACATATATATACATTTATAAACACACAATTTATTCTCACTTAATTAGGCGGCGCTAGAATTTTAGGTCAATAGATGACCTAATTACACCTTCCAAAATTTGAAACTTCTAATAAACAACCAAATGCTCATTGCTATGCTTCTTGAATAAGAATCATATCTCTCTAGCTGCAGGAGACTTACCTTTTCCATTTCCATGAAGTCTTCATCTAATTTAGTTCCCTCTGCCCCTCCGACCTTCTCACTAACTCTCTGCAGAATAAGACAGGACAGTTTTAGGTTTTGTAATTAGTTCTGAATTTTGTCCAGAATAATACATTTTTGTAAATTCTTTTCCCTTTTCCTTCGAATTTTCCACGGACCCCTTAGCTTAAAAACATAAACATAACATCCTGTCTCTGGACCACAAATTTAGCCCAAACACATCTTAAACTTGTACACTGATGCAATATGCTGCATTAAAACAAAAACAAACAAACAAACAATAAATAAATAAATGAGAAAAATCTGAAACTGAGGTTTGAAATCTTTCAATCATATAAGGTCATTGTAGAATATCCAGGAGAATTTATTCATAAGAAACATCTTTCATTATTTGGAGTCTGCTTATGTCAGTTATCTAATACAGTGGATCCCAACACTTCCCCTGGACTACCCTTATGACTACACAAGGGACTGATTTTTATATTCAAGTTTTTAAATTCTGTTAGTGTCCACTAAACATTTCTACCTGTAAACCTAAAGAAATTGTATTGTTCACAATTCTGTAATTTGGAGTCAACAGTCAATATTCAAGTCAACTGGTTATGGGTCTAGATCAAATCCAAAGTTAAGACTCAACTTAAAGTCTCAGACTCAAGTTTCCATCTCTGCAACAAAATATATTTTAAGGCAGAAAAGAAACTGAGTTCTAACGGAACAATATAGTACTTATAAGGTGGTATGTACTGGTTGTCAGCAATATGAGCTACCATTAATACAGAGCAAAACAATATTTTGTGTACGGGGCACTACATGTGATTAATATAGTAATTGCTAAAAATAGCACCTCAGCAGAAAGCTAATTTGACACATTAGTAATCCACTAATCCAAGTTGATGCTAAAAATAAACAATATTTAATTATATCTAGCTGTATCTTTTAATTAAGTCAGTTATTTAATACTTCTGCTGTACTTTGCTATTGGAAATAAAACCATTATCAATGCAGTACTTTATTCCAGAGCATTAAACATTCAAACATTTTCTTTCTGAAGACGTTGTACTTCTACAAATACACCAAGTTAAAGACTTGCCGTGTCTGCCAAAGGTTTGTCTGTGCCACAGGCTTTACTCAAAGTTACAAACCTAATCAGAACACCTTCTTGCTCAAGATTGAGCTGTCACTGTGTTAAGAAGATTTGAGGGCAAAGATACTAAGACATCCCAAGGGACTGGAAGAACGTGGCTGCCAAGTATTATATGGTGAGAATAACTCAAAATTAGCCAATTTCATACAGAGACTCCAATTTAGGAATATCTTCAATACCAATGAGATACTACACGTCTTATTGTAATAAAAATACTTAGTATTACAAAGAATCATACGAATGAGGGGATTCTGATAAAGTAAACTATATAGAATGAGAGAGAGAAAAAAAAAAATGAGTCAAACATGCTTAAAAGGCAAGACTGACTGATTTCATTAAGTCTGGTTAGCTGAAGTTGATGTCTTAAAGGTCCCATATTTTACACTTTTCTGGAGTTTTATTTTAGGTTTTGATGTCCTTAAGAATATATATTTGCAGTATAAGTACCAAAAACCATCTCAATATATTTTTACAGCTCCTTTCTCAGGAGCTCTGCTGAGAACAGGTCGATTTTGGAGAACAGGTCGACGTCATAGCGCTAACTGGAGGCAGCAAAACAAAGGGGAAACTGGAGGCGGCCCATTCAAACCAGCGCAGGTTCGGCTACACAAGGAGCTTAAATATCATCTTGTTGTTGTGATGTTGGGTGCCAGAATCAAAAGGGTCTGGCTGCAGCCTGGCGCTTGCACTCTCAGACGTGCATTCTCAGGCTTGCAATCTCAGACACTTGCACTTCCGCTAGCGACGTCACTTGCAGTCTTTTTTTATTTTATATTTTGTTCTATTTATTGATTACTTTTTGTTTGAATCTCTCAACATTTTACAACAGTAGCCAGATGGTGAAGACAAGACAAAAGAAACTAAATTACAATGTCACTTGCAATCGCCACTTGCACTCTCCGTTACCTGTGACGTCACTTGCAGTCGACACAAATCATGCGTGTTGCCAATGGAGACAAGACGCTGTGGTGGTGATTTAATGATTAAAACTAATTTAGTACCGTAACCTACAGGGTCCTGCAAGTAAAAGACAAGACCCGCAAATCCGTGGCCACAGAACAGCAGAATATGAACGCAATGCACAAAGTCTCTCGTTAAGCG